GGAGGAAAGCTTACAACTACATTCTGCAAAGCCACTATTACCTGACACCAAAGACACCACAAAAAGAGAAGTATAGGCCAATATCCCTGATGAACAGACATGCAAAAATCCTCAATAAATATTAGAAAAGTGCATCGAACAATACATTGAAAGGGTCTTTCACCACAATCAAGTAGGATTTATTCTGGGGATGCAAGGATGGTTCAATATTCACAGGCCAATCAACATGATATGTTACATTAACAAAACAAAGAATAAAAATCATATAATCATCAACAGATGCAGAAAACCATTTGATAGAATTTAACATCCATTCAAGATAAAAAGTCCGAGCAATGTAGGTTTAGAGGGAACACACCTCAACATAATAAAGACCATATATTAAGAACCCATGGCTACCATCAGACTCAATGGTGAAAAACTGAGAGCCTTCTGTCTAATATCAGGAACAAGAGAAGTTATGTCCACTCTTGCCACTAGTATTCAACATAATACTCAAAGTCCTAGCCACAACAATCAGATGAGAAAAAGAAGGAAGAGGTATGCAAACTGATGAGGAAGTTAGACTATAACTATTTGCAGATTACGTGATAGTATACATAGAAATCCACCAAACAACTACTAGATGAAATAAATAATTCAGTAAACTTTCAGGATACAAAATTAACAGCCAGAAATCAGTAGTATTTCTATACACTAAAAATGATGTAGCAGAAAGGGAATTTAAGAAAATAACTCCATTTACAATTGGACCAAAAAGAATAAAATATCTAGGAATAAACCAAAGAAGTGAAAGACCTGTACTCTGAAAACTGTAAAACGCCAATGAAATAAACTGAAGATGACACAAATGGAAATATATTCCATGCTCATGGATTAGAAGAATTAATGCCAAAACATCTATATTACTCAAAGCAATCTCCAGACTGAATACAGTCAATCTCTATCAAAAAATCAACAGCATTTTCCATAAAACTAGAATTATACTCATATTTGTATGCAAACACAAATGACCCCTAATAGCCAAAACAATCTTACAAAAGAAAAACAAAGCTGCAGGTATCATAATTACAGATTTCAAGATATACTATAAAGTTGCAGTAATCAAAACAGTATGGTACTGGCACAAAAACAGACATAAAGATTAATGTAAGAATATAGAAAGCCTACAAATAAACCTGTAATTATATGGTTAGTTAATCTATGACAAAGGAGGCAAGAATCTACAGTGGGGAAAAAAACAGTCCCTTCAAAAAATGGTGGGAAAATTGGACAGCTACATGTATGTAAATGAATGAAACTGGACCCGTTCTAATGCCATATACAAAAATAACTTCAAAATAGATTAAAGCCCTAATGTGAGACCAAAAACCATAAATATCATAGAAGAGAACACAGAATGGAATTTCCCTGACATCAGCCATAGTAACATATGTCTCCTCAGGAAAGGGAAACAAAAGCAAAAAATAAACTATTAGGACCATACCAAAATAAAAAGCTTTTGCATAGTAAATGACACCATCAACTAAACAAAAAGGTGACCTATTGAATAGAAGATATTTGCAAATTACAGATCTGCTAAGGGGTTAATACCCAAAATATAAAAACAACTTATGCAACTCCACATGAAAAAAGCAAACAATCCAATTTAAAAATGGGCAGAAGACCTAAACAAACATTTTTCCGAAGAAGACATACAGATGGCTGACAGGCACATGAAAAGATGCTGAATATCACTAGTCATCAGAGAAATGCAAATGAGAACCACAATGAGATATTACTTTCCATACATCTGAATAGCGAGTATCAAAAAAAAAAAAAAAAGAGGAAATAACAAGCGTTGGTGAGGGTATGGAGAAAAAGGAGGGCATGGAGAAAAGGGAGCTCTTGTACACTCTCGGTGGAAAGTAAACTGGTATAGCCACTGTGGAAAACAGTAATGGAGGTTCCTCAAAAACTTAGAAATGCCAAATGATCCAATAATTCCAGTAATAGGTTTTACCCAAAGAAAATGAAAATGCTAATTTGAAAATATTTATGCATCCCTATGTTTACTGCAGTATTACTAACAATAGCCCAGATATGGAAGCAACCTAAGTGTCTTCTGATATATGAATAGATAAAGAATATGTGGTGTGTGTGTATGTGTGTTCACGAGTGTGAGCACGCGCACGCACACACACACACACACACACACACACAATGGAATATCACACTGTCATAAAAAAGGATGAAGACTGTGCCTTCTGTGACAACATAGATGGACCGACAGGTATTCTGCTAAGTAAAATAAGTTAGACTGAGAAAGAGGAATGTCATAGGATTTCACTCATATGTAGAATCTAAAACAAACAAAACAAATGGGGGCGCCTGGGTGGCTCAGTCAGTTAAGTGTCTGACTTCGACTCAGGTCATGATCTCACGGTTCGTGGGTTTGAGCCCTGCACTAGGCTCTGTGCTGACAGCCCAGAGCCTGGAGCTTGCTTCAGATTTTGTGTCTCCCTCTCTCTCTTTGCCCCTTCCCTGCTCATGCTCTCTCTCTTTCTCTCTCTCTCAAAACCCTAAATAAGCATTTAAAATTTTTTTAAAAAGATGAATAAAGACACAAAAAGCAGAAGCAGATTTATAAATACAACTGATGGTTGCCAAAGAAGGTGGCAGGGGTTGGGAGGATAGGCAAAATGGCAAAGAGGAGTGGGAAGTACAGGCTTCCAGTTATTAAATAAAGAAATATGGGAAGAAAAGGCACTGTATAAGGAATATAAACATTGATATTGCAGTAGGTTGCCTGGTGACAAAAGGTAGCTATACTTGTGGTTAGCAGAGCATAAAATACAATCTTGCCAAATCTTTATGTTGTACACTTGAAACTAATATAACCCTGTGTTTCAACTATACTCAAATAAAAAAAATTAAAAAGAAAAGAAAGGAGCTCCTTTAAGTTTTTATTGATAGGTTTCACTTCACCACTATAAACAGGACACATTATTTTGTTTTTATCTGTTTGTAATTATTAAGGGGACCAAAGAAAACCATAATGAAGAATATATGCAGCACTAACTACTGGCTTATATTCAGTCCATTACTTGTTGCTAATGGCCTTACTGTTTTCTTGACAGTTATTATTTTGTTAAAGTAAGAATACTAATGAAGACACAGTGGTTTTTGAAGTTGTATGGTAAGAATACTCACTGTACCTTAAGATTTTCTAGTTTTAACAATTAGTATTAGAGTTTTTTTTTTTTTTTAAATGTTTTATTTATTTCTAGGAGAGAGAGAGAGAGAGACAGCGTGAGCAGGGGAGGGTCAGAGAGAGAGGGAGTCACAGACTGAAACAGGCTCCAGGCTCTGAGCTGGCAGTCAGCACAGAGCCCGACGCGGGGCTCGAACCCACGAACTGCGAGATCATGACCTAAGCGAAAGTCGGACGCTTAACTGACTAAGCCACCCAGGCGCCCCAATATTAGAGTTTTAAAAAGATTTTTGCTCTCATTTAACCACTTCAAAAAAACTTTTTTTTTTTGCTGAGCTTTTTGGCAATATAAATAAGTCTATAACTTAAATTAGTGAAGTTGCTCCCCAAATAAAAAACATTCTTGAATTTGATTTTAAGAAAACTTAATTTTTCATGAGTCATAATATCAGATTTTTTTTATCTGTCTCTGAAATATCTGAATTGAATATTGATGCTCCATTCCTATGAACATTAACTCCAGGTATTTACCCTCTAAGGCCCAAACACATTGACAGTTTCAAAACAGATATTATTTGTAATCTCAGTACTTTCCAAGTTATCCAGGATACTGGCACCAGATTGAACTTTATAAAACTTCTTCATTCTGTCAGTTTACAAATCTTCACTGATCTCTTCTAGGTACTTTAAACACTTCACACTATCTATTCACAAAGACTACTTTGGGGTTTTTTTTAAGTTTTTATTTAAATTTCAGTTAGTTAGCATACAGTGTAGTATTAGTTTCAGATGTACAATATAGTGATTCAATGCTTCCATACAACAAAGACTATTAACAAAAAGAAGCTTTTGATATGGTGATTTCAACTCTAATATACATTATTTTTCAGTCTGTTTTCTGACAAGTTTTGGTTCTACATTTCTTTCCACTTTTCCCAATCCAAGCTTCCCTTCTCTAATTTCTACAGCACTGAAAAGTACTTTATACTATGTATTCTTATATACAGTTTTACACTTTCATATACTTATGTTTCATCTTCCAAGGAAACTAAACAACATGTAAGCAAAACACTACCCCGTTTAAGGCCAATTAGTAATAAAGTGCTGGGCTACAAGAAGCACTCAGTAAGTACTTTGAAAACAATTCACAGTACATTAGAATGGTGGTCATCCTTTAATAGCAATGGGAACTGAAACTTCAAATAAATTACTTAATGTCACATTACCAGCTTGTCACAGAGTTAGGACTATACCACTGGTCTGGTTCCAAGTCTAGTGCTCTTGACTAAATTTAAGGGGCAATGCCATTTTTAACTTTAATATTTTCCATAAAAGTCTAATATATTTTGAGTGGTTCCATAGGTAAATATTTTCCAAATATAAAAATGGTTTACATTCAAATCACTATAAATGAACTCTACTTACTGTGAATAGAAGAAATTACATTTCATATTACTTAGGAGAAACTGTACATATTGCTGAAGCATGTATGTCTAAAACTTTACTAAAGCATTCTAATTTCTAGAACTGTCCAATAAGGACAGATTTTAAAACATCTTATTCAAATGTTACTTATAAATTAAGTACAGATACGGACCTAAAGGACTTAAATCAATGAAAATATGACAGAATCAGTAAAAGTATGGGACAAGTCAATGAAAATACGATAGAATCAGTAAAAGTATGTGACATGAGCATCTTATAATTGCTCATAAGTACTGGATATGATTCCAATATGGATTTCACCAAAATGCATGTGATTAAAACTCAGCAATTTATACTTGTCATCTCTTTTTTGCACATTTATTTAAAATATAAAGACTGAGGAAATCTTACCTTCTTGATAGGCTCCATCTGCCATGACTAAATGAAGAATCTTGGCATAAAGATGTTCATGTTCACTTCCTAAAATATTCTGAACTATTGTTGAACAAATCTCAATATTTTCATCTTCATCTTCATGAATCGCCTATACCGAATTTCCAAATATAAATTAATATTTGAATATTAACTGTCTATAATTGGAGACTTTTATAATTATTTATAATTATAATTATCACTTGTAATACATTTATTGACCTATAAATTTATTATAAATTTACTGACCTAAAAATATCACTAACATTTCACTAGTAATCTAAAAAGAGCATATTTCTGGGGCGCCTGGGTAGCTTAGTCGGTTAAGCGTCCGACTTTTGCTTAGGTCATGATCTCGCAGTTCGTGGGTTCGAGCCCTGCGTCGGGCTCTGTGCTGACTGCCAGCTCAGAGCCTGGAGCCTGTTTCAGTCTGTGACTCCTCTCTCTCTGACCCTCCCCTGCTCATGCTGTCTCCCTCTCTCTCTCCTAGAAATAAATAAAAAACATTAAAAAAAATAAAATAAAAAGAGCATATTTCAAAGTTAAATTTTTTTTTCTAACTAGGTTTCATGCCTAGCCTGGGGCTTGCACTCATGACCCTGATGCTGAGCCAGCCAGGTGATCCAAAGCTAAATGTTTTAACTGACATTTTACTTACCTTTATTTTCTCATAAACCTGAAAGAATTTTTCAAAGCCTATTTCCTGTTCCAGGTGAAGTCTCAGTTCCTCTAAATGGTTAAAGACGCTATCATATTCACATTCACTAGTAATCTCGCCATCACTGTTATCTAAAATGCAGAAATAAAAAGAAGATATTTTACAACTAAAAAGAATGAATAAAAGAATTCTTACCCTAATAGAGTAAAATAGACCTAACAGACTAAATTGACAAGTGATGTCACTGATACAGACTACTTGTATTTTCAATATAAAGTTTTTGTCATATAATTATTTCCATTTATATAGGAAATCAGTGCATATATTCTCTTAACAAGAATGTTACTTTGGGTTGGGGCACCTGGATGGCTCAGTCAGTTGAGTCCAACTCATGATCTTGACTCAGGTCATGATCTCACGGTTGGTGAGACTGAGCCCTGCCCGGAGCCCTGCATTGGGCTCTGTGCTGATGGTGTGGAGACTGCTGGAGATTCCTTCTCTCCTTCTCTCTTTGCCCCTCTCCTGCTTGTGTGCACATACACATGCTCTTTCTCTCTCTCTCAAAAATAAATAAACTTAAAAAAAAAATGTTACTTTGGGAATCTTTTATAGACATAAACAGTAAACTAGAATAAAACCATTCTAACTGAGTAAAAAATAAAAACAGCATACCCATATGTTCTGTGCTGAGGCAACCTACCCTAACTACCATTTTTAAAAAGTTGACATTAAATATGGGCCCAAACATGAAAAAGCATGCAGGAGGCAGATGATTTATGTTACATATCATAAAACTTTAGTATAGCACTTAGAAAATATAAACGTCATCTATGTTTTATGTCATGTACATGTGCAAGACACTTGGAAATATTCTAGTAAAAGACAAAATTACTGAAGAACTGTTCCTTTTCACATTAGCTCTTCTCAAATAAAAATATAGTTCTTAATTATACAGATTTTCTATGTATCTTGGGGGTAATGCTATGAACAAAGAACAGTTAAAAGAAAAATGTCAAGGTTTTAAAAATTGCTTTTAGTATTAACTCTGCTGGTTAACCACTGTATGTAGAAGCTCTTTGTAAAATATACAGTGCTAAGAAAATTAGGCTATTATCTTTAGTACTAGAAAAATAATTCAAGAAAGATAAGAAAACAATAAAAATGCTTCAAAAACATTTCTTTTTTTAAGTTTATTTATTTTGAGAGAGAGCAATAGAGTGTAAGCTGGGAAGGGGCAGAGAGAGGAAGAGACAGAATCCCAAGCAGGGTCTGCACTGTCAGCACAGAGCCTGATATGGGGCTCGCACTCACGAACCCGTGGGATCATCGCCTGAGCTGAGATTAAGAGTCAGCCACTTAACCAACTGAGCCACCCAAGTGCCCTGATTTAAAACGAATTTCTAAAATTTAATGAGAAAGAAAAGGAACAAATGTATATGGACATTTGTTTGAGAAGAAAAGGAATGAATAAAAGAGACACAAAAGCATACTTCAGTTTTATTTAAAGTTGGAAATGGTTCATATCAGATAACAGAAAAGTATATTCTACTTGAAATAGTTGTATGCACTGAAAAAAGAGAGGCCCATAATCATGACCACGTACCTGAGTGCCATTCTTCATTTAGGGCACTTTCACTGCTGGGATTGTCATCCTCATCTGCTACATCTGTCCCATTTCCAGTCTGCTCTATGTCACTGTTTTTTAAGATGGATTCTTCCTCCTCACTGTATTCTTCTCCAGGTTGTTCCCTAAGTAACTGCTCCATAGAGGCCTGAAGCTCTTGTAAATCTGTGTCCGTTTCTTCAAATACACTGAAATTTTAAAAAATTAAACTAAGCATTACCAAAATGTTACCTGATTTTGAAATTTTTCTTCAATTCAATCTACATGTATTCCTTTCTACTTAAAAGTTTTAATAGTGGACAGAAAGAAATCTGAAAAAACCTACATAGTTTTTAACAAAGTAAATGAGGACTGATACAATTATAAAATATAACACATAAAATATATTCTGGAATACATAAGCCAGAAGATGACTTATGTGACCCTGAGTGCCAAAAGAGAATCATAAAACTATCAACATTATTCATTGCTTAAATTTTGAAAGAATGGTTCACTATTTTTTTAAAAGGCCAGGCTAAGGAAATTTTTCACTTGCTTTCAAAAAAAATAATATTCAAATATGTTTCTTCTATGTAATTTTGAAAAGTCAGCAAAATCTTCATGAGGATGTATAATGGAAGTATCCTATATGAATAGGCTTTTCATATAAACATTCATTAGACATTTGAACTTTTAGAAATGGAAATACTTAAGAGAATTTTACATTCAGGGTAATAGGATGATCTAGTGAATAAAAACAGCCACTGGAAATCTTATCTTTAGATGCTTATTCTTGAAAACATTTCTAAAATACATAGCAAGTGAACTTTACTGCATAATTAGAATATATTAAACATAATAATCTTCACTAGATTATCTTGTTTCCAAGGCATTGCTCAGGATATTAACTGTATTTTCATAGAATTAAAGATGCTGGAATTAATTAATTTAGGCCAATAATACCTTACATTTATATAGTAACTTAGTGTATTAAGCAGTTTTATTCTATTACTAAAATTTTATCTACACGTAACTCACTTTATAGACATGAAAACTGAAATCAAAGTGTTTAAATGTTTTGGTCAAGGCTACACAGTCAATAGTACAGAAAGGACTGAAATCTCACTACTTCTATAATACCCCCAAAATGAACTCACTGACTTTATTTCTCTTATGATTTGCCTCTTTCTTTTAAAGCGGCATGCAATGGGAAAAGTCTGCATATTAAGAGTTAATTGAGGTTTTAGATGTATGAAATCTTCTGAAAAAGATTATGTACCTCCCCTGAGGATTTCATCCATTAGAAAAGCTGATTAAGGCCTTTCTCTAAGTTTAGACTCCAATCAAATAAACAAGTATTTACTGAAGAGTAAATATATATGGTATTATGCAAGATCTTAAATAAATCTTCCATTAATGGTAAAAGAAAATAATCTTTTAATGTAAAAATATCTTTACTTTGTATTCATGTGTATGAACTTCTACACTTTGTAGCAGGTGTAGAAAAGCATAGCATCTATTTAGTGAGAAAGAGAGTATGTCTAATCTTTTGGATCATCCTACTAGTAGCATTTAACTTAATATTTAATTACAAGACTAACTAGCATGCACATCCACTATGTACCATTGTAACAATGACTAAACATTAATGTGTTGATTAAATCTTCCAGTGGACAGCCTGGAGGAATTGGTGCCCTCCACAGATGGTATCAAAAGTCAGTGAGGCTGCTAAGCCTGCCATTATAACAAGAGTGTAAGACTAACATCTTTTTTGAAAGAAGCGCTCAAAGAATTATCTTATATGTAGTTTTAAATGTGGCCCTGAATTCACTTTTTAGATTTTCTTATAATATGACCTTGGGCGAAGTTTGAACAACAACAACAAAAATTTTTTTTTTCCAAGGAAAACATTAAGTGAAATTTCCTGGTATGGACTAAAACTTAATATTAAGAATAGCTTGGGTTTCAAATTTTTACTTTATTTTTTTAACTTGGTTTTCAAAATTTTAAATTAATATTAAAAGTTTCTAACTTAAATTTTAAAATAAAATTCTATCATCAACTAGTACTTAAAAGAACACAAGCCACAAACAAGCTATTTTTGCAGTCAGATAAAAACTGGTGATTTTAGGGACAGCTGGATGGCTCAGTTCAGTTGGTTGGGCAACCGACTTGGTTTCTATTCAGATCCTGATATCATGGTTTTTGAGATCGAGGCTCTGCACTGACAGTGCAGAGTAACATGATAGTAACATGAGAGGGCTTACTTGTTTCAAAGAAGGTGGAAAAGGATTACTTTCTAAGGCGCTAATCAGTTCCCACAGTTCTCAGAAGTATTGGTTAAATTTCCCTCCTGGATTCTAGATTCCCCATGAATCATGAAAAAAGGAATTTTGGGAAAGCAATGAAGTGTATGTGAACATACATATGCAAACAAAACAACTAGTCTACCTGCTAACTCTTCACTGCCATAGTTTTGAAATCACACATGGCAGGAGAGAGAGAGAGAGGCTTTCTGGTCTTTTCTCTGAGGAGCTGTAGAAGAGTACATACTTCACAATTTTCCACGGCAATCTTTGTATCATGTGGTGTTAAACTATTAAATAGTCATCATCCTGCTAATATTCATCCACTTAAACCATATTTATTACATGTGTACCATGGACAAGTCAAGGTCCTAGATGTTCAGTAGTGAATAAGACAGAGTGCACACATAGAAACTATTTTCTTATATTCTTCAAAGTGAGAGGAAATCATTAATATTACTTAGAGGCAAATATACATATCAAAACTTGCATGACTGTACTTTAAAAATGCTGTAAAAAGGTAAGTAGTGAAAACATCAGTTACAGATCATTTATAAAAACTGTCTAGGTGAGTTACATCTCTAGAACTCCTATAAACTCAAAAATTCTATTAGTGCTAGTATGTTAATGATGTCATGCTCACATGTCTTCAGAATCAGAAGGTCCTTCTTTAATATGCTCATCTTCAATTTCATCTATTTCAAGATTGTCTTGACAAACATCTCCTACAGTGGGAACATCCATCAGTGTCCTGAACAATTTTGAGAGATCTGGAAGTGAGCATGTCCTCAACATCTAAAAAAGTTAACAGATTTCTTAGTAGAAGTAAGATCATTAGAAAAATGAGATAAAAAAATTAGAAAGTTAGAGCTAATACTAATTTTTTATTTTATATCATATATTTAGAGCTAGAAGCTCTAAAGGTGACTTGTCCAAGATTAGAACCTAATTTTCTTGAATTTCAGCTCTGTAGTTTTTCAGCGAGGAAACTAAACTTTCAAGTTATGCCTGGGTTTCGACATAAAGGGATTCATAAGTCATCATTAAAAGGCAGGGAGAAGGGTTTAGTTGGAGATGCCCAGGGAATGGAATTAGAAATCTGTCAGAACTGCTCATTCAGGGCCTGTATTGTCCCTCTTTTACTGTATCTCTGCTAAGTCTTCCTCTCACACTTTCCTATGGCCAATTCTCCCCATATATCTTTCCCAAATCCTGGACTGAGTTACTCTGAAGCTTGGCAAAGCACCATCACACATAAATGGTGGCCCTTCGTATCATTTATCCTAGGAGCTGCTGGCTAGGCCACACTGGTTAAATAAGGACTTCATATTGGGGAGAAAAAAAAAAGCCTAATATCACTTGCCTGAACAAGGACTGTAAATGGAGCCTTTCCTACATGAAGACAAGGCTGAAAAGACAGGTACTTGATTTTCATAATGAGAATCATGTGAAATCAGATGAGCAGAAACTGACTTAAGAAAACACTTCATGCACAGCTGAAGTGTTTAAAATTTGAATTTGTTTGGATAAGACCAGGAATAATAGAAATAGCCTCTGTCCACCAACCTATCAGCAGTTAGAATGTGATGGGTAGAACAATGAAACAAATTATCTATCTCTCTCTATCTCTCTCTCTATCTATCTAAAGTCTCAGAATTGGGTTAATTGGGTTATAAACCTAAAGGAATCTGTGAGATTTGAAATAGAACTCCTAAAGCCCTGGTAAGAATCCTACACCAGATTGGAAACTGTGAAGAAAATACAATGTTTAGCATATTAATGAAAATTTATATACTTTGCCAATTTTATGGGTACAATCTGTTTTTGAGAAAAAAGGATAGATTTCCATTATTTGAACATAATTTACATATTACAGCACTTGAAAAAAATGGTTATGAACTACAAGACTGTGAAGATACATTGCTTGTCAGAGCACTTAATAATGGTACTGAAAATATTTTTTTCTGAATCTCCCAATGTCAGCAGAATTTATGCCTGAATTCCTTATCATTTTAATGGTTTGAACCATGTATATTATAAACGAGCAGTACGCAAAATATGCATATGGTAACAGTTTCTCTGGACAGATACTAATCAATAAGAATAAACAGCATATATGCATTATATACCCAAATTCAAGGCACTCTACATAAAGATGCAATATTTTTTAGGTTGAGATAAATTTTAACTCTGGTAAAATAACCCCAATTCTAGTTTATTCCTTTCACTAGTTAAAGTAATTTTCCCAACATGGTAGCTTGGGTGGCTCAACTGGTTAAGCGTCTGACTTCAGCTCAGGTCAAGATCTCCTGGTTCATAGGTTCAAGCCCTGCGCTGGGCTCTCTCTGTGCTGACAGCTCAAAGCCTGGAGCCTGTCTTGGATTCTCTGTCTCCCTCTTTCTCTGCCCCTCCCCCAATCACGCTGTCTCTCTTTCAAAAATAAACATTAAAAATTTTCCTAACTTAATGTAAAATAATACAGTTAGAAAGAAATTTCAAAATGTATGTAATTTGCAACTTTGCTTTTGGAATAAGTCTATGTACCCTCAATCCAACAGCTTATTTGTCCTACACTGAAAACCCTTTATGTTCACAGTCTTCTTTGACAGGTTTTTTAGATGTTTTTGTTGTTGGTTAAGTTCCTTTCTTCTCAAAAATTAAGAGAACCACATAAGACAGTGAATAAATTAAGTACTAAATGTATTAATAACTTCACATGAAATTCTACTTAAAAGAATTCGTCAAGTCACAGTTTCATCTCTAGTATTTTTAAAATAAAATTATGAATTAGCAATATTCTGGTTATAGTACAAAATGGATTATAATGAACATATTTATTTAGCTTCTGCTTACTACAATTAAACTGTTTTGTAGCCCTAAAAATAACTTCTACAAATATATCCTCACTTCAACCCATAAACCAAGTGAAAAGTGGTTCTAAAACATTAAAAAATTAACATTTAGCAAAGGCAAAAATTATAGACATTATCTAAGAATTGCTATTTTAGCAAATTAAAACAAGACATTTAAGACACATATGCTATTGACGAATTATACATTAATATTTCCCCCAACTCTGCACTTGCTATAACAAGTAAAGAAATTTTCAAGTTTTTTATAGAGATCAGTTTTCCACTCCACTCCCCAGATGAAAAAACTATCAGTGGAACACATCTGGTTTCTCTCCATCCTGTATTCATCATCCTCTAAAGTGAGGGAGGTCTAAAGGTAAGGACAAATAATTATTTTATTTGGTAACCTAGATTGTGTTCTCATATAAGTGATATCATGAGAAGATCACATCTTGAGATGATTTCATTTTGAACTATACAAACATACCTTACCCGATAAATCAAGTCACTCTATTATAACTACCTTAAGAAAGCTGCATTTACACTGTCGTTGTCAGAAAGAATACAACCCAGAAGACAATAAATACAATTCTAGACCTAGTAGAAATGCTTTTTCAAAATGAAAGTGAAATAAAAAGGTTTTTAAATAAACAAAAGCTGAAAAAAAATTCATCACCAACCGGGCTGGACAAGAACGTTAAAGGGGTTCTTAAAAGTGGCAGAAGTAATACCAGATAGAAACCTGAATTCTACACAAAGTAATGAAGAATGTCCGAAATGGTAAATATATAAAGACTCTCAACTTTTACTTTCTGTAAAAGATAACTGAATGTTTAAAGCAACAATGATAAAAATTTATTGTGGTGTTTATAACATATGGACATAATATATATGACAACAATGCCAAAAGACAAGAGAGTGGAAAGGGAAGTACACTGTTAAATATGCTAAATAAATACTGTTCTTGTTAAAAAATTTTTAATGTTTATTTATTTTTGATAGAACACAAGAGAGGGGAGGAGAAGAGAGAGAGGGAGACACAGAATCTGAGGCAGGCTCCAGGCTCTGAGCTGTCAGCACAGAGCCCCAACGCAGGGCTTGAACCCACAGACCATGAGATCATGACCTGAGCTGAAGTCGGTCGCTCAACTGATGGAGCCATCTGGGCGCTCCAATACTGTTCTTATGTTATATGTTAAGTGGTATATTAAAGGAAGATTGTAAAAAGCTACAACTGTATCTTGAAAATTGAGAATTACAATTAAATTTTTGAAAAAGTCTAATTTTATATGCAAATAGTAGAGATTAAATAAAATGCTAAAAATACTCATTCCAAAAGAAGGGAAAATAAAAGTAAATAGGAGCAGAAAAAGTGATAAGACAAATAGAAAACAAATAGCAAAATGGTAGGTTTAAACTTAATCATTATCAATAATATATAAAAATTACATAAAAAGTAAATTGTCTGATCACTTTAAATAAAAGAGATTGTCAGGCTGGTTAAGAAGCAAGACTTGACAAGATGAGAGGTACAAAAAATCCACTTTCCATATAAAATCAGTGTGATTAAAAGTAAAGGGTGTAAAATATATGTACCTCATAGACACTATCATCAGAAGGCTGGAATGGCTATATTAAAACTGGACAAAACAGATTTCAGAAGAAAGTGATATGACCAAGAGTAAAGAGTCATTTCATAATGATTAAAGAGGTCAATTTATCAAGACTATATAAAGATTATTAACTTGCATTCAATTGACTGGAAATTTTAATACTTTTTTCTCAGTAATTGATAGATAAGTAGAAAGGCAATTAGTAAGGACACAGAAGATGAACACCACTATCAAACAAAAAGGGACACTTCATAATAAACCTATCAATTCATTCAGAAGACAGCAATACTAAATTTTTATTCACTCAATATCAAAGTTTCAAAACACATGGAACAAAAATAGACACAAATGAAAAGACAGATAATTATCTAAGTATAGTTTTTTCCATTTTTTCTCATCAAATGATGTAACTAGACAAAATAGAAAAAAATAATAAAAATAAAGAAGACTTGAACAACACTAACAACCAATTTGACTTAATTCATGACACAAAACATTTCACATGATGATAGAATACACACTGTTTTACAGAGATCTGTTAGAGGAGAAGCCACCAGTAAAGGAAACTAAAGGGTGACTCATGAGTGCAGAGGAAAATATGATATAAAGGAAGCCAAGATATAAAAATGATTTTAAAAATGAAGTGTATATCACTTCATGATATGAAAATGAAAGTATATCACTTTCTCTGTTAGAGAAAAAAGTCAAGAAAGGTAAGAGGAAAAGATATGGGGAATTTGGCAATATACTAGTAATTGATTTGACAAGAGCAGTCTTAGTGGAGGAGTGGGATGAAAATCATATTGGAATATATTTGGAAGCGAAGACTGCAAAGATACAACATATTGAAGATGTCTGGTTGTAAAAGGGAACAGAGAAAAGAGGTGGTGGCTGGAGAAGGACATGTTATCAAAAGAAGTTTGCTAATTACGATGGACTTACTAAATAAGTATGCTGAGGAAACGATCTACTATAGAGGAAAAAGTTGATGATACAAGAGTGACCAAAGTAAGAGAGTTAATCCTTAAGAAGGTGAGAGACGTTAGAATTCAAAGTACAAGGAGGATTTCCTTTAATAAAAGAAAAAAAAAAAGGGGGTTGTCTGGGTGGCTCAGTTGGTTAAGCATTCATCTCGATCTTCATGATCTCAGGTCATGATCTCGTGATCATCAGACTGAACCCTGCATCAGGCTCCTTGCTGACTGTGGAGCCTGCCTGGGATTCTCTCTGCCTCTCGCCTGCTTGTACACACTTGCTCTTTCTCTCTCAAAAATAAACATTAAAAAAAAAAATAAGTAGCATAGCTTAACATTTTTAAAAAAGACTTTTAACAAAAATCTTTGTTAAGAGCTCAAATTATTCCACTTAGTACACAGATTATCTAAATGCTTAAAAATAAATTTTACCTTTTCTTCACATTTCAAGGTCACCATTATGAACATCAAGTATTTACTATTTTGGCCCAGTGGTGAACTCTTGTGACATCAAAGATTTAAGGGTTAGGGAGGTATGGTCTTCTGTCCTTGCTTTAAATGGCTACAAACTGCTTGGACTTTCTAGGGTTCTTTCTTGCCCTTCCTCTCACAGTCATTCCCCTACACGAAATCTGTTTTGCTGTGCTTACTTCCCAAGCAAGTGCTGCTACAGAACTACTAAGGCTGAGCTAAGGTCATGGAAGAAAATCAAACAATAAAACGTATTATGCAAGGAATGTTAACTTATTTTTTTAAGTTTATTTATATATTTTGAGAGAGAGACAGAGCATGTGAGCTGGGTGAGGGGCAGAGAGATAAGGAGAGAGAGTATCCCAAGCAAGTTCTGCACTGTCAGCACACAGCACGACGTGGGGCCTGAAACTACAAACCATGAGACAGTGACCTGAGCCAGATGCTCAGAGTCATATGCAAGAGTTGGATGCTTAATCGACTGGCTCTCCAGGAATGTTAACTTTATACACAGAATAAGTTATTAAAAATCTCTAGGCTAAAGATAGTTAGCTATACACCTTTACTACAAAGGAAAGTGTATGAATTATATGATAATCCTTCTCTGTTCCATAAGTAGGCCTTACTCTCTAACTCTAAAGATCATAAACTTGCTTTGATAGTTTATATCTTTGAAAGTTTGACTGCTATTAGACAAGTAAGAGAATTTAGCAATCTCTACATTTAAAATAAGATTAAGACAACATTCCACAAAATAAAAACATATCCAACTGGAAAACGAAATTGAAAATATTGAAAATCAAAATGACATATTTAAAAAACAGCCAAGGATAAAAGAATTCAGGTAATTCATTCCTATATACACTTAAATATATAAAAAGTGTCCAACATCAATGGAAAACACAGAAACACAAAATTTTTAAAACACCATCACTCATTCATTAAATATTAAGTGAATGATAACAATTGGTGCTATTTGGAGTACAGACTCTCACAGACTACTGAGACATTATGAGCTATTCTTTTTAATGTTTATTTTATTTTTGAGAGAGAGAGCGAGAGAGAGAGCACGACAGAAAGCATGTGTACAAGTAGCAGAGGGGCAGAAAGAGAGAGGATCCCAAGCAGGCTCCGCGCTGGCAGCACAGAGCCCAATGTGGGGCTCAGACTCATGAACCGTGAGATCATGACCTGAGCCAAAGTCAGAGGCTTAACCGACTGAACCACCCAGGTGCCCTCATTATAAGCTATTTCTTAAAGGGAAATCAGGCAATGTACGACTTTTTGAACTCTACTTACAGAGATTTATTTTATGAAAATAACTGTGGCTATGGTCAAAGATACATGTGTAAGTGGTTAAGGCCCAACAATAAAAATAGATTAGTTAAAACAATAATATATAGCATAGCAGCACAATGGAATTTATGGTCATGAAAGATGATGTGAGAGATTATTTGACAATATGACAAAATGCTATTTTTAAAAAATGCTTATTTATTTATTTTGAGAAAGAGAGAGAGAGCACACATGAGTGGTTAAGGGACAGAGAGAGAGAGAGAGGAAAAGGCAGAATCCCAACCAGGCTTTGTGCTGTCAGTGCAGAGCCCAACACAGAGCTCAATCTCACGGACCTTGAGATCATGACCTGAGCCAAAATCGAGGGTTGGTCACTCAACAGGCTGAGCAATCCAGGTGCCCATGACAAATTGCTATTTTTATAATAATATAGTTTTTTTTTAAATTTTTTAATGTTTTTTAAAATTTCTAGGAGAGAGAGAGAGAGACAGCATGAGCAGGAGAGGGTCATAGAGAGAGGGAGTCACAGAATCCGAAACAGGCTCCAGGCTCTGAGCTGGCAGTCAGCACAGAGCCCGATGCAGGGCTCAAACCCACGAACCGCGAAATCATGACCTAAGCGAAAGTTGGACGCTTAACTGACTAAGCCACCCAGGCGCCCCTATAATAATATAGTTTTTAATAGTAACATTTATAATAATTTTATAATACATGTTAAACAGAAAAGCAGGTTATAAAAATATGCATAATAATCCATTTTGGCAAAAAGTTTCATATATGTAAAAATTATACATATAAAATGTAACATAACAAAATACGTGATTCCTTTATATTTTAAAATGTTCTATAGAGGTAATACTGTAATTTCAAAGTAAGAAAAAATTGGTTACATAATTTCAAAAATAGCAAGTGAGAAAAGATAAGAGGTTTGGAAATCTTTTGCCAGAAAGTACATTTGAGTATCTTATCTCTTAGTCTTTCGACATACAAATTAGGCAAACAGCACTTCTGTCCATTTAAGATATAATGCTTGGGGTGCCTGGATGGCTCAGTCGGTTAAATATCAACTCTTGATTATGGCTCAGGTCATGATCTCACTATCCAGCCGCAAGTTGGGCTCTGGATTGACAGCGTAGAGCATGCTCAGGGTTCTCTCTTTTCCTCTCTCTCTTCCCCTCCCCCATGTGTGTACTTACTCTCTCTCTCTCAAAATAAATAAATAAACTTTAAGAAAAAAGGATATATTGCTTAAGTTTAGTCTCAGACTAAAAATGGAGGTTGGGTTGAGTAGTGAGGAAGGGAGATAGTGTAAAGAGATCTTCTGCTTAAATAAAAGTAGACCCTATAAAAAGAATCCTGAACAGGGAGCCAATGAAATAGGTTTTGTTCTAGCTGTACTCTCAATGGCAGTTTCTTTTTAGAATCCCAGAAGAGAAGATGGAGGCTTTCTGTCGTGTGTGTGTGCTTAAGAGATTAAAACTCAATATTATGGTTTATTAAAGAAAAACAAATAAGAAATGTTATTAAAAAAGATATTTCCGTTTGAGATGCACACTTGCCTTTGGGTTGTTTGCATCAAATAGACCAGTTGAAAGTCCAATCAGCAAGGAACTCTTGTTTTTATTTTTTGGTGGTGAATCAGAGCGAGATCGAAGTGGAAAGGATTCTTCTGGTGAACACAGAATTGACTGAATTTGAGAGACGACATTCAAGTGTTTTGAAAGAACCACTCTTTGAAAAACTGGTTCTGGTTGCACAGACTTATCTACATCACATTTGGAGTGCTGAGAATCATTTATTTCAGGTCCTGTGGTATAAAGGAAAGATTCTGTGATAAGTCTATACTGTACTTAAATAGTTTTACATGATATTGAATAAAGCACAGTATTTTAACATGGATTCTAGCAAAAAAACCCCTGCATGTCTGTCAGGAAAACAAAAACAAAGTATATAGATGATTCTATAGCTTTATAAATAATCTTTGACAGGATATAAGCTTTTATTTTCAGAAAGTGGATTAATTTGCTATATAGTTCCATCAAATGCAAAATATGTAGACACACATTTAAGGAAATGTGAAAACACACTGCTTAGACACTCATATTTAGCTCGTTTATCCTTGTCCCTATAGGTTAGATAGGAAAAATTGTATTTCTCATATTTTAATGAATACTATTATAAACAAAAAGACAATTTACTTAATGTTCTTAGTAGACCAGCTTAATTTTAGCAAGCAATTCTTTTTGTTTCGAACATTCAATAAAATAAGTGGCCAAAAAGTTTTTGTTTTTTTTAATGTTTGCTCATTTTTGAGACAGAGACAGAGCATGAACAGTCATGGGGCAGAGAGAGAGACACACAAAATCCAAAGCAGTTTCCAGGTTCTGAGCTGTCATCAGCAAAGAACCAGACGCGGGGCTCGAACCCACAAGTGATGAGATCGTTACCTGAGTCAAAGTTGGATGTTTAAGCAACTGAGCCACCCAGGTGCCCCTTGGCCAAAAAGTTTTATTGCCCACGTTGCCAAACAACCCAGGCTTATTACTAAGAACCCATTGCTCTAGGACTAGTACATTTTTTAAATGAATGTGGTGATTGACAAGAAATGTTCTCTATTAATACGTTGTCCAAATAAAACAGATTCATGTTAACAACCTTCCAGAAAGTATTTAGTCTAGTACAGTGAGGCTTACTTATATCAACTTCACTAAGGTCGTCCACATTCCTTGGGATTCCATCTTCAGTAACTTCATTTTGCTGAACAATAATCCTATCTTCCAACCTGCCCAGATGGATACATCAGTGGAAATAGAATTTACTAGAAATAAAAGCACTCTTAAATTAAAAAAAAAGAGTACAAGTTCAGCAGCATTCTGTGATCCCTCTTCCAAATATTTTCCTCACGTGTGTGCAGATATACATATTTCTTTCTCATAAGCACACTGTATTTTTACCATATTAAAACCTTCACCAATCACAATCAGTCACAAAAGCCAGCCTCACCACTTCTTGTAACTGTGGTTCCCAAAATGTGGCCTCTAGACATTAGGAACGCACAGAAACGTGTTCAAAATACAAATTCTCAGGGCTTAGCCTGGACCTATAAATAAAAACTGTGGGGGATAAGGCCAATCAATTTATTTTAATAAATACCAAAATAATTCTAATACTTGCTAATGTCTAAGAACCACTACTTTAAGCAATCAAAATGCCCCTTAATAGCGGAGAATATAAAATAATCATGATATACTAATACTATAAAATATCATATAGCTATTAAAAAAAGAAACAGAAATCTATGTGCAATGCTATAAAGAATAATAGTTAATATATTATAAAATAAGCACAGCAATCTGCAGATTGGTTAGTACTAAATGGTGTTAGGTTTCAAAAAATGGTGTGTAGCACAGTACAAAAAAATAGAATGATCTGCAAAGAAATGTTTTAATCCTTGAAGGCAGTGAATTGAGGGGAAAAAGGTAAAGAAGAACTAACAATTTTTATTTCAATACAGCTTGGAATTAAATTCATGTATTTTTTAACAAAAATTTAAAGACTGGAATAATACAGTCCAAATATTTGAAATAAACCCAGAAAAAGATGTTCAACATCACTAACCATCAGGGAAGGGCAAATCAAAACCAAATAAGATAACATCTCATAACAAAGACAGAAGTTAGCTGCACCTACTGTAATCATTTTAAAATATATACAAATCAAACCATCATGCTGTATGCATTAAACTTATACAGTGAAACAGGTCAATTATTTCTCAGTAAAAATGGGAAAAAAGGAATAATTTCAATAAATATGAACTGGTAACCACCCCCAAAAATATATTATCTCATATCTGTTACAGTGGCTATTATCAAAAAGAAGTAAGTGGTGGTAAGGATATGAAAAAAAAGGAATCCTTGTGCACTGTGGGTAAGGATGTAAATGGTACAGCCACTATGAAAAACGGTATGGAGATTTCTCCAAAAATTAAAAATAGAAATATCATACAATCCAGTAATTCTACTACTGAGCATTTATCCAAAGAAAACAAAAACACTAATTCAAAAAGATCTATGTACCCCTATGTTTACTGTAGCATTATTAAAAATAGCCAAGATTTGGAAGCAATCCAAGGGTCCTTTGACAGATGAATGTGTACACGTACACACACACACACACACACACACACACACACACACACACACTAGACAACTACTCAGCCACCAAAAGGAGTGAGATCTTGCCACCTGCAGTAACACAGATAGACATGGAGGGTATTTATGCTCAGTGAAATAAGTAAGAGAGAAAAAGACAAGTACCATATGATTTCACTTATATGTGGAATCTAAAATAAACACAAATGAGTAAAAGATGAAGGAAACATAAAGCAGGAACGGACCTATAAATACAGAGGATAAACTGGTAGTTACCAGAGGGAAGGGAGGTGAGAAAATGGGCAAAAGGGGTGAGAGGTAGTGGGAGGTCCAGCGTTCTAATTATGGAATACATCATGGGATAAAGTCCCAGAATAGAGACACAAGGAATATAGTCAGTAGTATTATTACACTGTTGTATGGTGACAGATAGTAGCTATACTTGTGATAACACAGTATAACCCACAGAGTTGTCAATCACTGTGTCATATACATGAAACTAATGTTAACATTCTGTGTCAACTATATTTCAATAAAAGCAACAACAAAAAACAAAGGCACCAGTAACTTATGTCTGAAAGTTTGGCTTACAGGCAGTTTTTGTTTCCTTAATTCTTTTTAATCCACCTCAAATTTAAATAATTTTTTTACTTTTTCAGTTTTAAATTTTGAAAATTTTTCTAATTTTTGGTTTTCAGTTTTTATTTGTCTAATTACACAAGTAACAGTGTTCTTCATTCAAAATGTAATATTCATTGGTTCCTCAGAAAGTTAAACAGAATTATCATATGCTGCAGCAATTCTACTCCTAGCCATATATAGTCAAAAGAAAATGTGTGTGTAAACAAAAGTTTGTATAAAAATATTAATAAAAGCACTATTTACAACTGTCAAAAGGTAGCAACAATCCTGGAAATGACCCACAATTGCTGAATGGATAAAAATATATGGTATAGTCCATATAACGGACTTTTCTACCATAAAAAGGAATGAAGAAGTGTATATCCTATAAAAAAAATATTTTGAAAATATCTATGGTTAAGTGAAAGAAGCCAAATACAAAAAGCCACATACTGAATGATTCTATGTGAAATATCCAGAACAGGCAAATCCATAGACAGAAGGGAGATTAGTGGTTGTCAAAGGCTGAGGAAAGGTGAAAATTGAAAGCGGCTGCTTAACAGGTGTGTAAGGGTTTCCTTTTGGGGATGAAAACGTTCCGGAACCACATAGTGGTTATGGCGCACAATACTGTGAATGTACTAAATACTATTGAATTATACACTTTAAAATGGCTAAAATGGTAATTTTATGTTATATGAATTTTACTTCAACCAAAAAAAAGAAAAAAAAGTATTGTTCCTTTTAAAATTCCCCTAACTGCTTAAATCCTAGTTGACTTTATTGTTATTAGTTTGGTATATTCTTACCATACTTTTCCTTTAAATTTACATAAAAATAATATAGTGTTAATATAAAGAAATGGTTTTTTATTGAACACTATTTTATTTTATTAATCATTTGATATTTGGGGCATATTTCCATATTAATACAGGACGTTACATCTTAGTCTTTAAAGTACTGTATACTAAATGTAGAATACAGAAACTTCTTTATTTTTAGCAACTTCCTTATTGATTATTTAGACTCTTTCAAATGACTTGTTGACTTTCCCACAATAAACATTCTTGCATATGCCTCCTTGTACTCATGTGTGAGTAATCTTAGAGTAGATACCAAAAAGAAAGGATGTATTTTATATGAAATGCACATTTTATTTATTTAAAAAAAATTTTTTTATAGATTATTTGAGACAGAGAGAGACAGAGCACGAGTGGGGGAGGGGCAGAGAGAGAGGGAGAGACAGAATCCGAATCAGGCTCCAGGCTCTGAGCTGTCAGCATAGAGCCTGACGTGGGGCTCAAACCCACGAACTGAGAGATCGTGCCCTGAGCTGAAGTCGATGCTCAACCAACTGAGCTACCCAGGCGCCCCATGAAATGCACATTTTAAACTAACAAAACTGAGAAATGGATCTCCAAATTGTCTCTCCCAATTCATATTCATATTCATAGCATATCAAAGCACCTAATTCATAACCCCTCACCAATATTTGATGCTATTGCTTCCCTTCATCCTGGCTTCATGTTATTTTATGGAAAAACTTTCACTGGAAACACATCTGATCTCTTGGCCTGCATTTTATTTATTTCTCTCCTCTGAGGAATAACAAGTATCCAATATTCATACATCCATAGTTCTCCACTGAGTAAAGTTAGTCAAAGAACTCAGGAGTCTGATGTCTTTTTCTCTCAATAGTATTGACTGCTGATAATCCATTAAGTATCATACAACTGCATTTACTAACCATATAATGTGGTTTCCTCCCTTGAGTACAATACATTCATATTATTTCCCCATTTTTTTCTTTTGGACTTTTGTATTTTTCTTATTAATTAGTGTGAATTCTTTAAGAATTCTGGATATTAATTATTAGGCTGCCTACTTACTGTTTTTTGACATTTAGGTCTTTAATAAATCTGATATTGTCTTGTTGAATGGCGATAGAAATGAAACTAACATTTTTTTCCCAAATCGTATTTTTTTAAGTGCTGCATATGCTGTGTAGTAAACAGGAACACAGTATTTTTAGCCATTTTCTTATTATTGATTATTTAGACTATTTCAAATTATTTGCTATGATAAGCATAGCATATGTTGCTTTTGCATATGTTGCTTTTTTGCCCAAGTCCAAACCCATCTCCTGTTTTTATAGATACAGTTGTACTGAAACAGTCACACTCATTTGTTTATGTATCATCTATGGCTGCTTTTGCAATACTTGGGCAGAGTTGAATAGCTGCATCACAGACCAAATAGCCTATCAGAGGCTAACATATTTACTATCTGGCTCTTACAGAAAAAGATGAACTGTCCCTGTTATAGATCATGGCAGAGGAAGAAACTTCCAATTACTTTTTATGTAAGAAGCACAACAAGAATAACAAAATCCAACAATGATTTCCCATAACAAAAGGAATGGCAGTCTTGCAGGTATTAATATAAAAATCCTAAAATACATAAGCACATTAAATAATATATCATGACCAAGAAGGGCTTACTTAAGGTATGCAGGATGGTTTATATTAAGTAATACATTAATATGATTAATTATACGGTTAACCCTTAAACAACATAGGAGATGGGGTACTGATTCCCCCATACAGTCTAAAATGTGTATATAAAGTTTGACTTCTCCAAAGCTTAACTACTAATAGACTACTGTTGACCAGAGCCTAATGGCAACATAAACAGTTGATAGATACATATTTTGCATGTTATATGTATTATATGCTGTATTTTTAAAATAATACCTAGCTTTTTATTATTTTTTTCAGTATTTTAAGATACACAATTCACCTACTTTTTTCAAATTGTCATGAATCTTCAAAAATTTTCCAATATGTTTACTGAAAAAAATGTATATGAAGACCATGTATAAAAAGACCAATGCAGTTCAAAACAGTGTTGTTCAAAGGCTAACTGTACTAATAAATAAAGGAAAACAGAAATATGAATGGTTCCATAGAAGCTGAAAAGTCATTTAATAAAATTCATTCCTGACTTTTAAAAATTCAATAAAATATTGACACCTATCTCAGTTACAAAGTATAGTCATGCCTAATGAGGATTAACAACAGAATCATCTTCACTAAAGTCAAGAGAAACACAGAGATATCCTCTATTTCCAATATTTAACACTGTATAAAAGATATTAAGACAATTACAGAAAAAAAAACTAGTGTTAAAAAAATTTGAAAGACATAAAATCATCAATGTTTTCATATGATATGATTGTATATGTGAAAAAAGCAAAAGATTCAACTAAAAATCTATCATGAACAACAGAATATATCAATAAGATAGTGGGGTACAAATCAATGTAAAGAAATCTATAACCTTCTAGTTAGAAGATCTCATAGAATAGGGGCCATTTTTAACACCAAACAAAAGATAACATGTCTAGGAATAAGCTTACCAATAAAAGTGTAAAACCTAGATGAAGGAAACTATAAAAATATTCAAAACTTCTATCATGTTCTTCATGGACAGGAAGAAACCAACAGTTGGTTTTCCCTACATTAATTTATGAATTTAACATCCAAGTAAAATACCAAGTGATTTTTTTTCCCGGAGGAAGGTGAGCAAAATTTAGTAAATTCTAAATTCAAATGAAAAATTACACAAACAAGAATAGCCAAGAAAACCAAAAAAGAAGAACAATGAAAGGGAATTAACCTTACATGATCTTAAAATATATTTTACATTTTAGCTTAAATAGTGTGTACCAGCACACTGTATAAAGACCAATGGAGAAAAAATATAGACAGACCAATGGAATAGGGGAAAAAAGCATTAAGAACAGCTCAAATAATTAAGAAAGTTTAGTACATATTAAAAGTGGCATTTTTAAACTGTGCAGGAAAGATGGACTTTTTAATAAATGGAGTTGCACAACTGGGTAGCCATTTGGAAGAAAAACTAAATCCATATACTAGGATAAATTACAAATAGGTCAAATATTTAAATGTAAAGAGTGCCATGTAAAATTAGTAGAAAATAAGATTGAAAAATTTCTTGAGAATCTTAGAAAGAACAAAGTATTTCTGAATTATTATTAAAATCCAGGTAAACATGACAACCAAACCAAACCAAACAAAAACATCTGCATGGCAAAAAAATAAAACATTGGTGTTCAACAAGGGAAAAAGTGTTGCAACTCATATAATAACCACAGCAAATATTTCTGGTATTTAATGGTTTCTTACTAACTTATAAAAGATCAACAACCAAGTTTTTAAAGTTGGTCAAAGATATATACAGAGAATTCACAGAAAAGGAAATACACGTGAAACTTAAACATGTGAAAAAATGTGCTCCCTTTACCAATCATAAGAGATAAACTAAGATATTATTTCTTAACCTATCAAATTGGCAAAAATAAAAAACTTTGATCCTAAGTTTGGCAAGGCTAGGGGAAATGGGAGGTTTCACACATTCTTTCTGAGAATGTAAATTGTACAAACCCTGGGAAGAACAATAAATAAATTACAAATGCAACGTATAAATACACAATTGACCCAGAAATTGTACTTCTACGTATCCATCCTATAAGATATATACAGGCAAAATTACCTTATGTAAAAGCTTATTCACTGCAACATCATTTGTAATAATCAATTGATGCAGAGTATCAATTAATGTAGAAGATTTATTGAACTGTGGTATATCCATACAAGTAGCCATAAAATAAGAAAAGCTCTCTATAGATTAATATGAAAAAATTCCCATGTTACTGACTAAAAATAAAAAAGGTGAAAGTACTGTTTACATTATACTAAGAACTTTATTTAAAAGGGAGGGAGACTATACACTTTTGTTTTGTATAGATTAAAAATATCTGGAAGGAAGAGACAATGGGAATTTGCTGGATGAGGACAAAGTTGGAAAACAGACTTTTTACTCTATAACTTTATATATTTGATCTCTGAACCACATGAATGTAATATTTTACCAACAATTATTTCATAAGGTATTATAATAAGAGGATATAATGCAGTATTAGCTTAGTACAGTATTTGAGAAAAAGGTATTACAAAAGGGATCCAGATTTTGAAATGTAAGGAAAAAGAGGTAACATACTCAGTTTCCTTTGTATCTTTTATCTCACTAATCCATACATCCATGATCATGCATGGCAAGGTACCATCTTTGTTTGATTCATCTGGCTCTTGCAGAACTTCTGTTTCTAAGCCATCAGATTCTGAGAAGCAAAAACATAACAATAAACATATCTGAAAGCAAAATCCATATATAGAAATTTGAATAAATTTTCTATAAAGATCATTACCTCATTTTAGGCTAACATACTAATTCTAACAAAAATTAAATATTTTATCTGTAGATCTTTAATCTTGTTAACTCCTGGTTGATATTTTGTGAAAGTAAATACTAATGAGAAAAGTTTCTGTCTTCATTTGTTGATTTCTCTTTTTCCTCTCCAATTCAGATTATCAATGCTCTTGTTTAAGCCACCATCACCCTCTCTTTTTTCCTGAAATCCAGGTAGTCTTTCATTCTCTATTTTTAAAGTTTCCAAATAGCTTGTCCTAAAAGATAACTGATATGGTGCCAATCCTTAAAGTTTTAACCCTTTATTCAAATAATTTTTTTTTGCTTACTTGTACAAGGTAAGCACTTGGGGAAAATATTGTTATTAATTAGCACCTTAAGTCATACCAATATGACTTATTCTACAAACTAGATTTGTGATTGTATTGCCCTCAAAGTCTAAAATACTTACTCTCAGGCTCTTTGTAGACAATGTTTGTAAACTTGCACTAAGCTGTATAGCTTCTATTATATGTCAAACAGGGTTCTGTTTTTTTGTTTTTTGTTTTTTTTAATAAAAGGCATAAGATCCCTACTAACTATAATTCTAATAAGTAAGATTATTTAAGTTACTGTGGTGAATTAAAGATATTTACACACCTAGCAGGGTCTCTAACGTTCCTCTCATCTAGAAGGGGCCTCTAGCTCCCCTCCCTTTGAATTAGGTCTGGCACTGTGACTGTCTTAACCAATTGAGGATAGTTGAAATGTTGCTATGACAGTTTCAGATCTAGTCTTCAAGAAAACTGGCAGCTTCTGCACTGGAATCTACAAGCCACCATGAAAGAAGTTTATTCTGGAAAGACCACGTGGCAAGTTCCTGAGGCTAAAATAAGGAGAGGGAACCACCTAAACAGGCCCAGCTGAGCTCTGCAGAGGCACCAGACATGGGAATGACATCATATTGCCCCTTCCTGCATAAGCCCAGCTGACAGGTGAATACCACTGAGTGGTAATGATGCCACATGGGAGAGAACTTTCCCAATTCCGAACCCACTAAAGCCTGAGATAAATAAGCTATTTTAAGACACGAAGTCTGGGGAATAATTTGTTTTGCAGCAATAGAGAACTAAAACAGAATTTCATATCTGAAAATAGGGTGCTGACATAACAAAAGCTTAAAACATGTGCACTGGTTTTGGGACTTGACAACAGGCACACATTAAAAGTGCTTCAAGGAGACTGCTGACAAGAGACTGGCCAGTGAAAAAAAGTTTCTGGATGCTAGAGTAAAGGAGATTCTTGTTACACAGTGGCAGAAAATTTGGTACCTATAATAACAATAATGATAGAAAAAATACTAAAGAGATTTAATGACTCAGCTAAGGTCCTATCTAAGCCGAATATTAAAAGTGTCAACTAGCTTCTTTAGTAGCTTCTTTAGTAGCTTCTGATAAAGTTCAAGAAGACAGAGATTAATTGAAGAAAGAACTGTTTAGTTTATGAGGACAAATTAGAAGAGAGAGCCTAAGTTAATTCCTTCCAGGCAACAGGAGTTTCTTATGGGAAAAGATGGCCTCAAAACAAACACTGAATTCAGGGCAGTAAAATGTGGTCTCAGGGCAAAGATGAAGTCAAGTGTATAGACATAAGACCTTCTGTTATAGCACAGAAAGATTTAAAGGCATGCTTCCCAGACTCTCTTTGTTAAACAAAAGGATTTTTAAGAATCTCAAGAGCACTGTCTCACAGCATCCTATGGGTAACTGAAAGAAGAGAGGGGCCAAAGAAAAAAGAAGGAATGAAGAAAGAAGAAGAAAAAAATTATCAAATATAGTAAATGTGACAATGTTCATACAAAACTCACTAAAAGTACTAATTTTCAACTTGCAGAAACACCATCAGCTTGGATTCCAAAGGAAAGATAGTTTAGAAAAGCCCTTGAGGACACGGACTTTGGTGCAAAGGAAGCAAGCTGACATTGCTACGCCTGGCTGGCTTTCAGAATTTCTAAGGACTAATGATTGATATGTGTCCCCCATTTTCCTCATTTGTGAAAAGGAGTCCCTATTCTTCTTTCAATACTGAATGTTAGATATATAGAAGGCAAATAACTTCTCTTTTTTGCTTACAGGTCTTGAGATGGAGTAACTACTCAAAGAACTATACTCAAGAAAACTCATCTCTACATAGGCCTGACTTGGATGACATCTGTAGGCCTTGAGTTCTTCCCCTCCTTTTTTTAAGTTTATTTATTTATTTGGAGAAAGAGAGACAGGAAGAGAGGGAGGGAGAGACAGACAGACAAGACAGACAGAGACAGGATGCCAACTAGGCTCTGCAGCACGGAGACTAACGTCAGACTCAATCTCACAAACTATCTGAGCGAAATCCATAGAACTAGTCGACTGAGTCACCCAGACGTCCCTAGGCTTTGAGCCCTTTAAATAATAAGATGAAGCTTTAAGAAGGGGTGAGTATACTATGCGTGTGGGGGGAAATGTAACAATTTTGGTCAGGTGGCAGACTATGGGATATTACCAGCGGCTGCAAATTCTTTAACACTCTTAATTTGGAGGGGTAGGCTCTGTTTCATCTCCTTTTGGCTCTAGGCTGGCCTGTGACTGCTTTGACCAATGAAGTAAGGCAGAAGTGATACTGTGCCAGTTGAGATTAGCTTTTACAAGTTCAAGTAGTTTTTGCCTAGGATCTGTGAACCCTGGACCACCATATAAAACATCAGTTACCCTGCTGGAAAGGGCATACAAAAAGGTAAGGAGACCACATGGAGAGGGAGAGGGGCCAGGCTTAACACAGCCTTCAAGCTGTATCTGCAGAGACACTACTGAAGCCATCTTGAACCCGTCAAACGTTGCCAACTGAATACCACGAAGTGATCCCAGAGACAAAAGCACATGAATTACAAAAATTAGGTTAGTCAAGCCTTGACTCAATTCCTGATACACAAAATCATGAGATATAATAAAATCATTGCTGTTTTAACACTAAGTTTTGGGGTGATTTATTATACAGCATTTAAAAATCTAGACCAGTTATTAACCATAGAAAACAGTGAACTTAATTTGAGATGAATCACCCAAACATACACATGTTTTGATGATCTGTTTATAAAGACCTGTTTATATAGAAGAGATTAAGGTATTATTAAATTAAATACAGCTCATTTTGACCTATTAAAATACCATCCACATTTCCTCCTGATTTCAGTGACATCTGTGGAGATGCCTCACTCAATTCTGGACTGTTTGTTTCAGCAGAAGAATCAACAGGAGCTGATGAATTCATTTCAAGTGAAATATATTTTACTTTTTCTTCTCCAGTAATTAAAGGTTTGTAATTCTCCCTTCCTGGAGAAATCTCTGAAACAACAAAAAAGAAAAATCATGTTACATTTTCAAAATAACTTGAATTTTACCTGTAACAGTATTTACAGCAAAATTCAAACATCATATTCTTACAACAGATAATTACTGGGTAAACTCTGTTATGTATAAAAATTGATAAATGATTAGGTATATGATAGCTAAATTCCATTTTAGTCATACCTAATGTTTTTCAGGGTGAATAATATATGGTTTACCTTCTTTTCCCTTTTGGTGAAACTAATATATATGTTCCAAAATGTTGTATTTTAAATCATTGAATAATTATTTTTATTTGTTTCTGGTAATTGCTAATTACTTCCAATTGCTCAGAAATTCCCCATACTTTTGATGCCTGGAGAGAACGGATTTACCTCAGAACTTACTGCAATTTTGTGTAAGACAAACAGGTCACTCTCATTCATTCCTTGAAGACGTTACTTTATAGCTCATAGTCAGGAGATCCCCCAACACTAATTCTCTCTTAACTAATTAAGTTGATTGCTGAATTTCCATCAGTAATCCTTCCAATCTAGGCCTCGCAATTCTTCTCCAATGATTTTTATCTTTCTTCACTGTAACTTGATCACTCCAATCGTCATATCTTAGAAAGCCTGTCATTAACTACAGCTCCTCAAAATTTTCAGTGTTAAATATTCCACCTTCTAATTTCTAACATCCTATTTTTCCACTTATCTCCTTCTTTCTAACCCAACTTTAAAAATGTCACCCCAACAGTACCTGCAATGCCCTGATAGTATCATGTTTTCTCTCCCCCATCATCTTCATTAAAATCCATCATTAATAATCACTTTCTCACATATATCTTCAACTCATTTTACCCACATGGAGAAATCTCAACCCCTTATAAATACAATTTTCTGTGCATTATGTCTGCACATACATGGCTGAAATGGGTGGGGAAAAAAGGAGTCTGGCTTTCTGTTCTCAATTTCAAATCATTATCACTAAAGTTAAGTGGGCACTTTGTGTTGCTGACAGTCCTACCATAACACCAGGATACCAGAACTGCATCTAGTTCAGTTAACTTACTTAGGAAAATAAGTTGTGTATGAATATATTTTAATTATTTTACCTCTTATTTCTTCCTAGTCAATCAAGAACAAAACTATAGTGTTGCTCACTTTGAATATCTTCCCTATACCAAGCTTCATCAACAAATTGTGATAGGGGTCACATCTGTGTTTTTGCTCATTCAACTACTGTTCTGCTATAAAATCATGTCTATTAAAATCAGGAACAAGGATGCCAGTTAGCACCATTATTAAAGATTGCTTTAGAGTGCCTAACAAATATAGTAAGAAGGAAAAGAAATAGAATATTGGACAAAAAACACTACTTCTTATCACTGATATTACCCACACATTTGGAAGATCTAAGATCAAGGGAAAAAACTTAATGTATTTAAAAAAATAATTCATTGAGGTGTCTGAATATAAAAGTCTACACTGACAGAAAGAAAGAAAGAAAGAAAGAAAGAAAGAAAGAAAGAAAGAAAGAAAGAAAGAAAGAAAGAAAGAAAACCCAGCTTTATTTAAACTAAGGGTGCCTGGGTGGCTTAGTCAGTTAAGTGTCTAACTTCAGCTCAGGTCATGATATCATAGTTCATGGGTTTGAGCCCCGCATCAGGCTTTGTGCTGACAGCTCTGAGCCTGGAGTCTGCTTTGCAGTCTGTGTCTCCTTCCCTCCCTGCCCTTCCCCAGTTCACATTCTGTCTCTATCTCTCTCACAAAAATAAATAAACATAAAAAATTTAAAAATATAAACTAGAAATAACAACTTAAAAGGGAAATAGGAAAAACATAATCCATAATAAAGACAAAAATACACACACTGTGCAAGAATCAATTTACTAAAAAAAATCCTTAAGAACTTAAATGAAGAAAACAAAATGTTACTGACAAACACAAAACAAGATGGTGCCAAGATAAAGACATACTTAAATTCTTGAATTTAACAGCATAAAAATAACATTCCAAAAATAAATATATAAGTTTAATATGATTCTTTTTGTAATGTTTATTTATTTATTTTGAAAGAGAGCACAAGCAGGGGAGGAGCAGAAAGAGAGGGTGAGGGAGAGAATCCTGAGCAGGATTAGGACAAACACAAAACAAGATGGTGCTGAGAGCACAGAGCCTGATATGGGGCTTGAACTCACAAACCATGAGATCATGACCAGAGCCAAAACCAAGAGTTAGATGCTCAAACAACTGAGCCACCAAGGTGCCCAAAATTTAATATAATTCTAATCAAAATGCCCAATAAAATAAAATAAAATTTGTTTTAACAGTAACTGTCAAAAATAATCCAGAATAATGTTAGATTTCTAATTAGAGTAAATGTCTTGCGTGTGTGTGTGAGTGCTGATGCACACTCACATGCATGAGTTGTTGATCTAAAGGATTTAAATATTTTTAAAACCTTTCTATCCATTAAAAGAAATTCAGATGATATAAAGAAAAAGACATACTTGCACAGAAATTTAAAAAAAAAATCTTCATGGCAAAAAAAAAAGGCATAAGTTAATTAGCAGCATGTGGGAAAAACCTGTGTTGATATACTAGATATAGATTATCTATGCCAGATAAAAATTCACACAAAAAAAATATGGGCAATGCCATATAAAAAGGGCAAAGAATATAAATACAATTTATAAAGAAGCAAATCAAGGTGCCTGGGTGGCTCATTTGGTTGAGCACTGTCAGCTGTGCTGACAGCTCAGCACCTGAAGCCTGCTTCAAATTCTGTCTCCCTCTCTCTATGCTCCTTCCCTGCATACACCCTGTCTCTCTTTCAAGAATAAAGATAAAAAAAAAATTTTTTTTTACAAAGAGGTAAATCAAAATGGCCAAAATAAAATAATGGAATTTACCTACAATCAGAAAATCACAAATGAAATCCATTTATAAGACTGGTAACAACATAAAAGTGATTAATACTGACAAAATCTGTTTAATATTTGAAAATCAATTAATGGTATTTGCCACATTAATAAAGAAGCAAAATCATACAATGATCTCAACTGATTCAGAAAAAGAATCTGATAAGCTTAATGACTCTTTCTAAAACAAGACTAGAAGAGACTTCCTTAATCTTATAATGGATATTTTCAAAAAAGACTTGAGTTAATATATTTACTTCTTTGAGTCAAGAGTATGGCACTTCTCTGTTCAACAATCTATTGGAAGTCTTAGCATAAGAAGAGTAAGAACTGGAAAACAGAAAATTAAACTGTCTTTTTTTTTTTCATGTTTATTTCTTTTTGAGAGACAGAGACAGAACAAGAGCAGGGGAGGGGCAGAGAGAGAGAGAGCAAGACATAGAATCTGAAGCAGACTCCTGGCTCTGAGCTGACAGCACAGTGCCCATTGTAGGGCTTGAACTCACAAACTGTGAGATTATGACCTGAGCCCAAGTTGGACACTTAACCAACTGAGCCACCTAGGTGCCCCAAATAAAACTGTCCTAATATGGTATCATGGGTTTACAAAAATACCAAGAGAATCTACCAATACACTACTAGAATCAATGTAGGAACTCAGCAAAGTTGCTGAATATAAAGTCATACACAAAAGTAAATTATACATGAGCCACAGTTATAAAGTAAAATTTCAAAACAGATGAATAAAACAGTGGCATCAAAAATTATACAATTTTGACAAATATCATATGTTTGCACGTATAGGAGGATTAGGAGGAACTTGATGGAAGAACAAGGGGGAGAAGAAGGGGGGAAATGGTGGAGGAAAGGGAGAGAGGCAAACCATGAGAGACTCTTGAATGCTGACAAAAACTGAGGACTGATGGATGTGGGAGGGAGGGGGGGATGGGCATGGAGGAGGACACTTGTGGGGATGAGCACTGAGTGTTATGTGGAAACTAATTTGACAATAAACTATTTGTAAAAAAAAAAAAAATTTATACAATTTTGGAATTATCTAATAGGATATATAAAATACCTCTATGGAAAAACTAGAACCTACTGTTGAGAGAAATAAAAGATCTAGATATAAGTAGAGGATATAAATAGCCATGGACTAGAAGAGTAAATACTGTAAAGATATCAATTTCCTCCAATGTATATATTCAATATAATCCTAAAAAACCCCCAACATGATAAGCCTATGTATATGTTCAAGAAAACAGAGGAAAAAATGGGCCAAATGGCTAAATCCATGGTTATTTTCAACAAAGAACTAAAATCTGTAAAAGAATATTAAATGGACATTCTAACATTGAAAAATGCAATATCTGGGGCATGGGGTGGTTCAGTCAGTTAAATGTCCGAGTTCGGCTCAGGTCATGCGTGATTTTGTGGTTCATGGGTTCAACCCTCACACAGGGCTCTGTGCTGACAGCTGAGAGCCTAGAGCCTGCTTCAGACGCTGTGTCTCCCTCTCTCTCTGCCCCTCCCCCACTCAGGCTCTGTCTCTCTGAATCTCTCAAAAATAAATAAATGTTAAAAAATTTTAGAAAAGAAAGATAAATGCATTATATGATATAATGAGCTCACTGGATTCACTGAGACACAGCAGAAGATTAGAGAACACAAAAGACAGATTTTATGAAATGACAGATCAGTAAAAATACTGGCATAGTTTGTTTTACCACACTTTGCAGATAACTGTGTTTTCTTACAAATGGAAGGTTTATGGCAACCCTGGATGGAGCAAGTCTGTCAGCGCCACTTTTCCAATCGTATTTGCTCATTTCGTGTCTTTGTTGCCTTTTGGTAATAGCAGTATTTCAAACTTTTTCATTATTAGTATATTTGTTACAGTGATCTGTGATCTGTGATGATGACTCACTGAAAGCTCAGATGACAGTTTTTTCCAGCAATAAAATACTTTTAAATTAAGGTACGTACATTGCTCTTTTAGACATAATGCTATTATGCATTTAATGGACTACAGTATAGTGTAAACATAACTTCCATATGCAACAGGAAACCAAAAAATTCATTTGACTAGCTT